ACACATTTTTAAATATTTCAATAATTACAGCACAAATTTTGAATTGTTTTTGTAAGCCATTTTGTTACCCATGACTCAAAACGGATAATGTGATAGGAATTAGTTCGATAAGTCGTAGCCATGTAAATTTGATTAAGTGGTTAACAGCGTAAGCAAAGTTGTGTACTGGGTGATTCGGAATAACTGTCACTTTTTAAAATAGTCATAACGATTGAACGCTTGCATGATTTTTGATAAAAGTATATTCCAGATATACAACATATATAACCTTCAACTAAGCATACTTTAATTCAAATTTCTCTCCCTTCATCTTTAATTTTTAAATTTGCCACGAAATTGAATCACAGCTGGCACGTACGCCTTAGCTCCAGCATTTTTGAGTCTTGGTGATACGTCTAAGCTCTGATATTGGAGGGATGTTCCACACATACCTCTATATTGATGCAAAAAATAAATGTTTCATTCTTTCGAAGAGATTGCAGAAAAAAAAGACAACACTCGAATTTGTAGAGATCTATGACATGCTCCGGTTTTACGTCCATGGCTGCTTGAAATCGAAAACGGATGAAATCCTACTATCAATATAAGCTGGTATTTATTCACACTTGAAAACAAAAATACTTGAACATTTACCCATTTTACTAATTGAGAATTGCATATTTGTGAAATCGGTCACAGTTATTCTGAATCCACCTGTAAAAAATTATGTTAATAAAAATTGGTGGGGTTGTGACATAGACTACGGTGAGCTGTTTTGTGAATTTTTCGTACATTTCTCTTGATATTGCTTTTAAATACAGTAGAAGTAGAAGTGACTTTTAAAGGTAAACGTGATTGCCTCTCACTCCAAAGGGACTGGATTCAATCCCAATCAACGCCGTCGGGATTTTCTGAGGTATAAAATCTCTGATCACGCCTTCCTTTGAAAGGGAAGTAAAGCCGTTGGTCTCCGGTGCATGAGTCGATAGGTCGATAGGTTGGGTCCAGGCCCTTCCTGGCGTCGATAGCATTGATACTCAATACGGAAAATAAGATCGACGGAAAACAAATGAAGGGAAAAAATGGACTTTTCTCAAATCAAACGTTTAATTTTCTACAAGCAGGTGCTAAGTACAACATTAATTTAAAATTAGGGCAGTTATTTTGTTCAATTTTAAAATCAGAGCAAAAGTTCGTATACAAGTTATGCATCTGTTAAATGTTTTGGTTTGGAAGTTCGATGCGAAAATGAGTGGAGGCGTGACAGCAGTACTCTTTTATAAATTTGCTGGTTTAAGCTGAACGATGCACAACAAAGTGGTACTCGATTATAATCTCTGGGTTTTGGAAAACGTTTATTTCATGAAAATTATTATTATTATTATTATTATTTATTAACGACACTTTACCATCATCGTGGCATTCGTGTCGGGATGAAAATAATGGTAAAATTATCGCACATTATTTGTACATTTTTAAAAGATTTTTTATGGAAAAATGGGAAAAGAATTTATTTCATCAAACTCATAGAGTTACCTCCAATCGATTGGTGTATTTGGATTTTAATTTCAGCTACTAATGACAAAGTTATAAGCGTTCAAAACCTAACACTTTTTCTTGACCGTCGAAATTTATGATTTAAGATCCACCTGCTGTACCTTTCCGTAAGACGTAGTCTACGTTAAAAACGTTTAAAAATACTGGCGTTTAGTTAAAGAAGTAGCTTCCCACTTCACCAGAATTTGTTTTTCCAACTTTCTCATATTTCATTTGTTTTCTTTTCAAAATTTCTTCATACTACCTTCGGAAGTTTTATCTGATATTCTTATTAACTTTTGTCGGAAGATTTTTCCAACATATCCTGAATGTTGTTTTCCTGTAGAATCCTCTCATTATCTTAGCTAAGGTAACACTGCAACTTTAATTTAAGTTCTAAAGCATTCTAAAATTCAAAATCATGGTCTACAGCGGAGTTGCGACCTATCACAATCGTCAAACAGCTGATGGTAGTAATGCGTGGTACGTTCCTATTAATGTGCTTGTCGAAGCACTCTCCATGACCATCCATCAAGTTGACGAAAGAAGTAAAAAAGCAACTCGTGAATGTCGTCTTCGGTGGTGATCCATCACCAATCTAGTCATTCTCAACAATCACAACAATCACTGGGGCTCGTTTTAAAGCAGTTGCTGCTTTGCTTACTTATGTGAGTGTATTGGTGAGTGAGCCCAACAGCTTTGTTTGTAACTCACACAGTCACGCGTGCCGAGACGTGCTTCTGTCGCTTCGCTTTTTCTCATCATCGTACTGTAGAAGTTTTCACTGTTTCCGTTGTGCTTTACATCATCACCAGCGAGTGTTAAGTTTTGCCTGTAAGCAGCGACCATCACTGGTTATTGTTGCTTGCCATGGCTCTGCCTCTCACTGCGTGACAAAACGTTTTGTCAGCGATAGTTGGTTGATGCGTTGACGAGTGTCGAGTGAGTGTCATGATATTTTGCATCACTGGTCTACAAAACTATAAAAAAATACTTGAGAACACTACTCCCGGAAGTTTATTCTGTCTTTTCTTAGAACTTCCCCGCATCTTTTTTTTACGACCAATTCTGATTCCCCCAGGAAATGTATTCTCACTTCCACCTGAAGATTCCTGCACATCTCATGGAAGTTTATTCCGGTTTCTCCCAGAACAGTTTCTGGCTTCCTCGTGTACTTTCTACCGACATAATCTGGGAGTTTTTGCCAGACTTGCTCTGAATGATTCTTCAGACTGACACAAGATTCCCTAGAAGTACTGTGGAATTGCTCCCGAAGTGTCTGTCGTCTTCCTCTGAACGTTTTTTCTAACTTGCCCGACAAATTCTTCAAGCTATTCCTGGATGTTTATTGTCCTCACACCACCGCGTTTTTGTGAAACAAGGGAAAAGTGATGTCAGCCTAATTTCAGTTGAACGGGTAATAATGGGAAGAAATTTCAGTTCAATTGGCAATATCTCCCAGAATAGGTCAGCTGTGGAAGTTTTTTCGGACCTCTTTGGAAGTTACTTCCTACCTAGCGAAAAGTTTCCATCACATCAGCAGGAAATTTATCTTAACTCTTAAGATCTCAATATCTTAACTTATTGACAGTTCTTCACAGAAACAAAATTCCGTGAAATGGTTTTCTGGTCAGTGTGGGCTATCTTTAGCGAAAATATATATTAAGCATGCCTTTTATTTAGCTGTTTCCGAGGAAATCTAATATACTTCCCTAGAATTTTAAAATTTGTTTTTTTTTTTGTGAAATTAGTGAAAATTGGTTGTCAGGATGTCTTCAGTTTTGTTTTTTCGTGATTTTCATTTGTTTTTTTTTTTTAATTATTTTGCTCCCAGGATTGGTACTGCGTGTTTAACCTTTAAGTGCAAGATTTTTTATTTTGCGGTGAATTTTTTTCTCTGTGATATATATTGCGCTTACTATTAAAATATAGTTTCACCATGTTTATAGATAAACAAAGGTATGTTGCCAAATGGCAACACTATGCATTTAACGGTTAATTCCTTCATATTTACTTTGAAGTAGTACCACTGCTAATGGCTATCCGTTTTCTGCAAGCTACGATCCACCCTCACTTACTCTAGCGATACCTTGGAGGTAGCTCTACCAGCAAAGAAAATAGCCATAACAAGGGCTTAACAACTTATTCTCGGTATCACCTAAACCTAATGTGACATAGATTCTCTATTTCTGGTATCGTTCATGTAAAGTTCTCATTCAAAAAATATACAAAAATATGTTTCTGTCTAATATCTCGTGATTCTGACCCCATGAAAAGATTCCGTTTCCGGTGGTGTAGTGCTAAGCGTGATTGATTCTCACCCCAAAGGGCCTGGTTTAGATGCCAGTCGGCTCCACCGGGATTTTCTAAGGCATAAAATATCTGATCACGCCTCCTTTCGGAAGGGAAGTAAAGCCGTTGGTCCCCGGTTAATGAGTTGATGAGTCGATAGTGTGTGTGCTTCCGTCTATTAACGTCTCTTTAAACTGCTTCCCTGGTAGAGGAGAATTTAGTTCAGGTGTGGGAGCTTGATACTCAGTACGGAAACCAAGATCGACGAAAAACAAAGCAAGGAAAAAAAAGCCCTCTCTGATGGTGGGTAACAGTAGTCTTACTTTTGGCCATTAGGCTTACTCTTAAGAGCAGAATATTGTTTCTGATATCATATCTACCAATTCTGACTATATGGAAGGTTCTTGATGTCAAAGTTTTTTAGTTGAGTGAAATCTCTCGGTTTGCGTTTAATTTCAAAGCGACACAAGGCGTAGTGAACATAAATACTATTTTTTTTATATCTAATGATCCTGATAAGATATCGATAAATTTGTTCAGTGGAGTGAGACATTGGCACAAATTTAACTTCAATAATAGCTTTCTACACACAAAGATTATTTCACAGATTTCTGTGAAATTTTACCGAAATCTTAACCGAATGTTAAGGTAAACAGTTCCAAGATTTTTCACTGATATTGAGCTTTTAACTGTGTAGGTGGTTCTAGTGAGAAAAATACTGTTCTGTCTCATATCTCATGATCAGTAACATACGAAAAGTTCACGTCTTCCGTAAACCTTTCCCACTGAGCAGTAGTTCAAACATGATTACTTGGTGGCTCATGAGTGAATATATTTGTACCTTCCCCTTTTTGCAACGCGACTTCATTTTCCACTATTTTCCTCAATTTTCGGCCAACCTACTCACCACATAGCACGTCTGGATAAGAGCTTTTTGATTACATTTGGTTTAGCTTAGAACATAGAATAGGTTCAAAGCTACCTCTATCAAACAAACATAATGAAAGGAAAATAGGGCTATCACGTAGCAAAGACTGTGATGTGAACGGCATTTCAACCAATCATTTGTAGACACCCCGTGACAGCCACGAAACTAATCAAACCCTGATATAAAAACCCTGGCTTTAAAAACTATTTATTCCACATCTTAAAGAACTTCTAACAACCTACATATCCCGTTCACTGAATTCCAGTTCGTGTCAGCTCTTGCCATACTCGCCGCGACCGCCAAGGCCGCTCCGGTGGAGCAGGCGCACTACTCCTTCGTCTCGCAACACCCGGTCCACTACGAACCCGTGCACCATGCCGTTCCCGAGGTCCACTATCCGATCCACGTCCTTGAAAGTCACGAATACCAACCGTACCACCACCAGGTTGTCGCCGAGCAGCCTCAAAAGTACATCATAGAAGACCATCATCAAGCTGCTGGCGAGAGCTACGTCGACCACAATACCTACTCCGGTGGCTACAGTGCCCTGTACGGTGGAGATGTCCAAGGACATCTGTACAACGCTGGTGGACACAGTGGCTACGCCAAGACCTACAACGATTACTATGCCTACCCCAAGTACAACTTCGAATACGGCGTCGATGATCCACACACCGGAGATCACAAGAAGCAGTGGGAAGTCCGTGATGGTGATGTAGTCAAGGGTATGTTTCTCATCATTCCATAGCTTGAATTACAATCTTAAAGCCGTTTTTCAACCCTTAGGTGGATACATGCTGAAGGAAGCCGATGGAACGACCCGCGTCGTTGAGTACACCGCCGATGACCAGAATGGATTCAACGCCGTCGTCAAGAAGATTGGCCATGCTCACCACCCGGAAACGCACGCTCATGCCTATGCCCCTGTAGCTCAGCAAAGCGTCTACGGCCATCTGGGTAACTACGCTGGAGCCTACGCTACCGGTGACCACTACGGCAAGGGAGCCACCAGCTACACCAAGGTCTGGAAGCAGCACTAAATAATTTGGACTCGCGATCATGGAGTAGTGAATTATTGCCAAAGAAGAACAACGCGGAACGATACATTATTTATTTCTCTTGATGCTTTTAAGACGAGCTGCTGCTAGCTCCGATCAACTACATGCGAAAAGTTTTAGTCAAAATGCCTCTCCACTAGGATGCACATTACCGAAATGATTATTTTCACTCACTATGCGGGAGTTAGATGACTCGCGCAGCCAAGCGTCTGCAGTAGCTTCCGACGAATCGATTTTATGGTTCCGAGATGGACTGTAGTGGCGTGCGAGTTTTGAACTCCCATAAAATATAAAGTTAATAAACTGATCTGTGATAAAAAAAACTAATGCAAAACATTTCTTAACCTAAAATCTTTTAAAAAAATATCACATCCCAGAAAAATACATTTCTTGCAAGCTAAGCAAAATTCTGGATGTCAGGGAGACTGGCTCAAACGCCATACCACAAATGAGCCGCTAAATTAAACATCTTTTCTTACATTCGCAGTATGAGATTTTAGAGGAAATTTGGAAAGTTTCAAAGAAGTTTACAAACCTTCAGAAAAATAACGGGAAATTGCGGGAACTTTAAACTAATACCGAGACATTCGCAGAATTCTAAGTAACCCGGCGAAGTTCGGAGATCATTTATACAGTTCTAATAACATCACGAATGCTTTTTTTCCTTGATTTGTTTTCCGTCGATCTTGTTTTCTGTACTGAGTACCAATGCTACCAGGTCCCACACCTGGACTCTACCTATCGACCCATCAACTCTCATGGACGGAGGACCAACGGGTTTACTTCCCTGTTCCCTGATCAGAGATTTTATGCCTCTGAAAATCCCGGCGGCGATGACTGGGATTGAACCCAAGCCTTTTGGGGTTAGATGCCATCACGCTGGCCACTACAGCAGTGGCGCTGCTATCAGGAAAGCTTGTTAAACATCAGTGTCTAGAATGTTGGGGAAGTTTTAAGATGTTGAAGAGTTAGTTTCGATAATTTAAGCGCATTTCCATTAACTTCAGAAAAATTTCTAGAACTTCAATGAAAATCTAATAACTACCTTTATATTTAACTTTTATTTCAGGGAAATAGTGGGAACTTTTGGAAAGTTTTGGAAATTGCCGGTAAGTCCAAATTACTCCAGGAATGTTGTGAAATTTAAGGAATACTTCAGAACTTCACAGAAGTCTAGAGAACATCAAAAAATGTTCCATCTCAACATTTATTGACCAATTTTTATAAATCAACTTCCAGTAGGTTAGAAATTGATTCCAATTTCGATGTATGTCATTATATTTAAGATGGAATAGATTTTCAATGTATACAGATGGTTTTCAAGTTTAATACATTAAAATTTCAAATGGAGCAATCTTACGATAGCGCAAGTTAGCGCAGCTGAATCCACCTCTTAAAGTTGCGCCTATGTTTAGACTTAATGCCCTCATAAATACATTTAGGGAAACTTTTGGAGCAAATTCCAAAAAATTCCAAGGATCTTTTGCCGGAAGTTGGTGAAAACATAAAACGTCAGAGGGAATTGATTCAGGGTTTCGATAGGGATTGATTTTCAAAATGATTGTTTGGTATGTTTGGCATTCAGTCTCAAAAAAAAAATGCGTTGACTGCTATTCCTTCATCGCCGACGTATCGGCTCTTTTTATGGGGCCTTCTTTAGGGCTCGATTCTCAAATCTTAAATATTGCCTGCAGAAGACACGAGATATCTCTAGCGGAATGCAGAAGCTTCTTTGGAAGAAGTTTGGAAGTTCCGGAGAAGGCAGAAACTTCTGGGAGTAAAAGTATTAAACTTCCCAAGGAAGTTTGGATAAACTTCCGGTACATAACATATGTGGAACTTCATGCAAAACTGTTGACTAAAAGTTGATCCCTTTTTTGTGTTTCCTCAGTGGTATAACTGGTATAGTTGGATATCGATCCGTCAAAATTAAATCTTCGTGATTCGACACTGAGTCTTCATATAAGCCAATGTCGAAAACGTAAGCAATGGCTTCTTTCGTAAATATCTTGTAATTCAAAGTCAATCCATGCAACCCAGCAATTCTATCAGCTATGGGGACTTTCCCTAGTTCGTGGTGGCTTAGTTGAGCGAGTTTTCATTCTCAAGAAATTCGTGGAAAAGTCAGTGTTTACGTTTGTGACATTGGCCCTTATGAATGAAAATCAGATAACACGCTATTTGAAAACCACCCAAATTTGAGTAAAATTCACCCTGATCGGTCAAAACTGAATCTATCAAAAAATGGGTAAGCTATGTTGGGAGTGACAGGTTAACAATTGAACAACGTCGGTCGGATCCATGCCAATGTTGCTCATGTGTCAGCTTGTCGCTCCCAACATAGTCCACCCATTTTTGAGTAGGTTCAGTTGTGACCGATCTGGGAGGATCTACCCAAATTGGAATGGTTTTGAAATAACGTGTAAGTATTGACAGTGGCTTTCTAACTCTTTACTCCTATGGTAAAATCCTGAAGTCTAGCGGTTTTTGTCTCTTCACTCCACCATGGTACCAGCGAGCCACCGTCTCTTCATGCAAAGATTAACAGGAGCTTATGAGATTTTTCACTGGAGTGAAAGGGTAAGGTAATGTCTAACATGTCTCGCACAGACTGACGTTTGCTTATGGGATTTTCCCATAGGAGTAAACCCTAGTAGCATGTTTGTCACATATCGGTTGTAGAATCTTCTTTACGACTTATTTCAGTCATAATTAAGTTGCTGCAACTTTTCTTAACGGAAGTGTGCTACTCGGGAAGAGTTACAGAGTGACCGAAAAGGCTAATTGTCAAGGTAATGCGGCCATTTTTTTAGACTAGCTCTGGGGCACAGGGGGCCTATCAAAGGAATCAATTTTACGCAATTGAGAAACATAGAGAGGGTTGAAACCTTGGGTATTGCAGGTATCGATAAGCGCTCCTTCTTGCAAAATTCTTGTGAATGGAAGATACAAGGTTAGCTCAAAACACTCAATAAACACTGAATATCAAGAGATTTATGTCTGTTTTACGTATCAATTCCAAGAAGAAGAAGTTCCACTACATCTATCAAATGAACAAGGTTTCAAAGAATTGCCAGCAAATATCTTCAATTCCTCAATGCACACTATGTTTTTTTCAATATTCAGCTCTTTTTTATACTGGCGGTAGAACTTTGACTGCTTCTAAAGATTTGCAATACTTATAGATAAAGCAGGACACTTGTTGCAATATGTTGCTACTTTAAACTTTATGCATCTAACTCCAAATTTGTGCGGTTGTTATGAAATGAAATCAAAGTTTGATTCAATTAATTCCAACAAAAAATGTTATGGAAAAAATGGCGCATACATTTATTATCTAAGAAAGAAAATTTAAAAAAAAATTACCCACGCAAATTTAAAGAAATAAACAAGTATTCGCATGGAGTTTCTCCAATTTTTGGTCAAAATAACATAAAAGCAATACATATAAATGATTATTTCAATCCAATCGTGTGAAAACTTTTATGAATACCTGCATTTCTAAATAAAAAATCAGTTCAGCTTCGAACCTGTTCGGATACGGTTGTGTATAAGTTTATGCGTTCGCTGATTTTGCCAGATTAGCGCTGGCACTCTGCCTCCCGGACGGTTATACGTGTGTGATTGGTGGTTTTCTCGCTTTCCGAGAAGTTTTGGAATCGAAAAAGAAAACGTGATGCATCATGTTTGCAGGCATCAGAAGAAGTGTCGCTATCTGCGTTGTTTGTTTTTTTCTTCGCTTGTGCTCCCGGTACAGAAATTTGTGGCGTCGCGTGTGATAGCTTTTGATTTCAGTTTGTTTACGCGTTGTATGATTTTGTGAGCGGTCGCTTCGTGTTCGCGTCATGGAGCAATCGATTACATTCGACCAGAGGATTGATCCCCGTAGGGCGGGTCTATGATCGGAGCTACTACACCAAGCGTGACATAGCTGCTTGCAAGGGATTCAGTTGGACTGATTTGGTGAGATTGTTCCATTTTTCTACTTTTGTCTATTTAAACTTAATTTCTATGAATGCGTATCGTTTGGAATCATTTGATTCGGATGAGACTCTTAACTTTTATTTGTTTACATTGTGTTTCAATTGGTATTCTTAAGAACTTCATAAAATAAGGTTTCAATATTTAAATTGAGCATATCGACTAGCCTAGTGGCTGCCGCTTTTGCTTACTGAGTAGAAGACCGTCGAGGATCCACATTGTAAAGATTCCCTATTTTCAGCTTTTTTACAGGCTGGAGTTGTTGTTTGAACCATTTAGTTTATCAATTTAATTTATCTGTATAACAATTATTCACAAGCATTCTTCCAGGTCAATTCAAGAATAGTTTGATGATGATAAATCTTCCTAATATTCACATTACAGTTATGACCCGATCCTGTCAATCTCTCCGCGCATCAGACTGTTATTTTTCAATAATTCCACATAATTGTAATTTCATACCTTCCTCCTTCAAGATGAATGTTTAAGATACACATACTTTGCTAGCTGACAAAATGGGGTCATTGCTGTATAATTATTCTCTTTTTGAAGCCTTCATTCAGACTGGATCTATTGATTTAAATTATTTGAGTTTTCTTCCAGCTCTTTGATGACGGAACATCACTAGATTTATACTGTAATGATTCGCTCTTACAGCTTTCACCCTGGTTTTGTCTGTTGATTTGATTTGTTTGAATTGGTTTTCAGCTCTTTGGTGTTGGCAGTCGCGGGCGATCAATTTTGCTCATGCTCATGCTCTAAGTTCATTTTCAGCATTTCGATGATGGAACGTCTTCAGATTTATATTATAAGGGGGCTTATTACGGATGTCACATCACGGTGAAAAGTTGTCACTTGTCGTCACGGTGAAGTGATTCACATTTGATTTGTACGGTAATCACGGCTCTTATTCTGAGTATCACTTTCTTATCACCGTGTAGTGACACCCGTAATAAGGCCCAATGATACACCATTTGGTTTTGGCTTCGGGCAAATCCAAGTATAATGCATGATAACACTGATTCATTTAAAACCATGGTCGCATCACTTATCAAGGTGAATCCTGATCCAACGAACCCAACTTACTAACAAAATCTCCTTTTCTGTGTCTTTTGTTGGAAATTTCAGGGTTACATCTTCCTTATTGGGAGCTGAGGAGACATAGAGCTGCATCATATTGTATGTAAAATAATTATTATTTTCATTGCGGAATACCAGTTTTTTTTATCCATATAAATGTATTTTCATTATTACGTATTTTAATGTTCTGATATATTTCATTTCTCCATTACATATGTTTACTATATATATATAAATAAATACTGGGTTGGGAGGGAGCATCAGGGTATCATT